TACTGCCATTGAAAAAAAAGTTATAACGACAAATCTGCATAACTTGAAATATCTAAGTTTCAAAATGACAGAGAAATCGAGGTTAGAATGCATTAAGAAAGTCTGCTATAGAAAACATGGCTACTTAAGGCATACATTTTTCAAGAATAATGTCTGAATCATTTTTTTCTTTGCCCAAAAGTGCCACGTTTACTAAAAGAAAAATCGGGGGTGTGGCCTTAAACATAATTTCTCCGATATATGAGACCTTCTATTCAAATTATCATGAAATAACAACTGCTCCCAATACTATACACGTACCGTAATTCCATGATGGAAGTAAAAAGAGTCCCTTTGTATGTAAAAGAAGTATAACATTGATTAGGTAAGAACGCTTTTAGAATATACTAGTATACAAATATAGCCTTTTCATGAGGACGATCCGATGTTATATCGTTTTCACAGAAAATCATAACGATAGAATAAGGAGAATGAAGTTGAAATGGTTTTCTGTGAACTCGATATATCTATTGACGGAATGAAAGGGCTACTTTGTTATACTACTTCCACAAAGATTTTTTTTTTCTTAAAATATATTTTTAAAAGGAAGTCTGTCAAATTGTAATTGAAAAATGTATTGTTATAAAGCACAGGTCATTTCAACGATTAACCACATTAACTTAAAATGAATCTTGGTTGATTTGAATGACATACTATAGCGAACCACGATCATTTTAATGGTAATAATATTTTCCGAATATTTTTTTTAAAAAGTACAGGTCTATCTGAGTTACATATGTTTAAATTTAGAAAGGCCCGATCTCATCGCATTTCTCTACTACACGAGGTAATGATAAAATTCGCTAAAATGTCTGAACACAATATTGAATGATATCATCCTTTAGAATTCTTACGTTATATCACCTTATTCAATTTGAATGGGTGATATAACCTATTTGAATAGGTGATGCCACTAAATGGCAATAAATAGCGCCTTACACAAATGGACAACCATGAAACATGTGGAGATATAGAAAAGTATTCGAGCTCAAAAGTTCATTAAACATAAAAAAAATTGGAGCGGAACAAACACGGACCTCCAAAACATCAGAGGTGGGATCAGATGCCACGGAGGAGTGAGCATCCTCCTACCGACCGGTCACATCCGCCATGTGCTCCTTGTCATGTTCAGAGAATAAAAAAGAAGGGAAAATCCGTGGAAAACTCTGTGTGTAAATAATGGACTAACAAATAGTATGAAAAATGTCAGTCAGCGTTTGAGAGATAAATTGTATTTGCTGACAAGGGCATGGTATCAACCATAGATTTTACGAAATTATTACTTTAAACGGGACTGATGATATTCATGCTTCATCAATTTGTTTGTTATATACGTACCTCGTTTTAGAAATAGTTGTTCATACGTAGAGTATGCTCTTCCGTATCAAATCAACTGAGAGATATAAACTCCGTATGCAGGTGACAAAGGAATATTGCTGCATAAGTAAGGGAAGTCTACGATTGAAAAGTTACAGTCATCACGTTTATTAGAGCTTGGTTGTTAGATTGCCATCAACGTCTTTTCAAGCAAAATATCCAAATATGAAACGGATATTTTATACTCTGTGGTATCTCTAATCTCAAGCTTACCGGAATATATCGTATTGGCATAAAAATGGAAATTGTTAATTGACAATACGCCGTCGATTTATCTAAATGTCTAAATGAAGGCCACAACAAGTGTTTTCTTCTTTTCACATATAAGATTTTGGACAAATTCTGCTATAAAGAATACAAAAATAAGTCTGCTAATAACGGGGTAAAATTGGTACCCATATGGGAATTCCAATAAATTGTTTGAAGACCTAGTCCAAAAAGCATCTTTTTGATCTCAACTTCAGATTACTTGTGTGTACAATCAGAACCTTTTTGTACAAAATAATTTTGCACATTACTAATGACAAGATTAGTAATGACGAGATCCATTTTTATTAAAAAAAAAAAAAAGCAGCTGTCAATGACATCAAAAAGCCTTGAATTTATCGTGGAGAAGGGTTGTGTATAAAGTTGAAAATTCGTAAATTTTTAAGCTATTGATTTTGGTAAAATCCTGTGATTTTAAATTTTCAAAAAGTTCCTTGGAATTTTTAAAGTATCCATATCTGATTTACACCACTTCTCGATTATATTATTGCAAAGTACTCTAGTAGTTTCTCCTTCACTACTGTTAATATCCTAGTGAGAAGTAAAGAAAGAGGCTTAGTTGAACATTTACTGGAATGTTGAATATGTACATGAATCTTTGTAAGGATTTTTATGAAATTTCAGGATCCAATACAGTTACGGTAATTCAAATTCATTTGGGCTGTTTAAGATATTAAAGATATTCAATACTGACAAACGATTTTGAAAATTTTCTTTCTTAGAAAGGGAACTATGAGTATAATTTGGATTACCACTTGTAGAATGAAATCAAAGTTCCTCTAAAATAAAATTTACATAATGAGCCTTACAAACGAAGAAAATGTTGTTTTTGCTTTGTCAGTAGGGACCAGTACGTACAGATTATGTAATCTATCTAATTCTTTTTTCACCCCACAGAAGGATAGATGGTTTTCATATTGTCCCTCAATCTTTTAATACGCGATTGTTATATTGATCTGATACACATTAAAAAGTAAATCAAAGTTACAAAGTTTGTACTATAATAAATCAATATTCCAACGTTTCCACAGTAGTCAATCAAAGTTTCAAAGTTCTCACTAAAGTAATGAAATATATAGAGATGACAAACAGTATTTAAGCTCAAAAGTCCGAAAACAATACAAAATTGGAGCAAACACGAGCTCCAAAACAGTAAATCAAAGATCCAAAATTTATGCTATAGTTAATTAAAGATTCAAAAGTTTTTTTTCCTAAACTTTATCAAAGTTTCTAAGTCTTTTCATTAGATTAACAACTTATGTATTTTTTATTATTTTTTTTTTATCATATAGCCGTTTTTCGGGGGTGAATATGGGATTGGTTGGGGCTGGGTTTTGTTGTGCATCTTAATTTTTAAAATATACAAGGTAGTTAATTCAAATGCAATATTTACATTTTTCAAATTTTTAAAAATATACATATTGACTGGAGTTGATGAAGCAAATATTTTTATTCTAAAAGGCCTGAATTTTATTTTATAGCATAAAAGTTTTTTCTCCATAAATAAGACTTGTTATTTCTGCATAACATTAAAATTAAATAGATTTAAGTAAATATTGCTTAAGTATCGGCGCAAGAGACAACTTTTACATTATAATTCAATTTTAGAATATTGTTCTTTTAGGGGAGAGGTAGGTTAAAAAGTCCTCTGAATTAAGCTTTTATGAATCTTAACCTGGAAATATCATAAAATGTAAAGAATGGGAATCAAAAACATAATGCCACGGGTTTTTGTACTGTATCAAAGTTTCAAAGCTTTTACTATTATAAATCAAAGTTCTAAAGTTTTCAATATAGTTAATAAAAGTTCAAAAGTTTTTACTGTAGTAAATCAAAGTCACAAAGTTTTCATGTAGTAAATCAAAGTTACATGCATTAAACTTTAAATCATACAGAGGCATCCTGAAGTAGTGATGAAAAAACCCTTAGAGATGTTTTGAATAAAAGCTTAATTGTTTATATGACTTCTGAAAACTTTTTATTTTTGGACGATTTCTTATTTTTTTTTCTAATTTGATTTCCTTAGTGGTCAAAGACAAACCTGCAGAATCAATATAAAAAAAGGCGTCTTTACAGTATTACTTTATAGATGCTTTTGTATAAAATTACTGAAATGTGGCTTTGAAATTCTGAAAAGATTTTAAAAAAAATTACAAATAATACCTTGCTGTTTTAATAAGTTGATTTTCTTATTTGATTGGTACCACTACTTGAGCATGCTTCTACATATTTACTAACATGGGGTGATTTTTCCATTTTCATATATATCATTATATAAACTTAATTTGAAATAGGAAATTTGAATAAAATTTAAAACTACTTCAGGATGCCTCTGTATGGTTAATGCTATTCAGGACTTTGGGGAGGTTTTAAAAGATACTTCCAACATGTTCCTGTGTATAACTTTGATTCCCTGTTGTATCGCCATGCTACCCCTGGGGTCATGATTTGGAAAACTTATATCTGCACTACCTGAGGATGCTTCCAAAAAAGATTAAACGCTACCAGATACTGTGCAGATTAAGTTAATTCAAATAATGATCTCCGTGGGTATAGCGTGGGACCACTTTGGAGTTTTACATGGGTGAAAATAAGGATTTTTTTCTAAATCTTCTCAAAAAATTTGAACAGTTATATTGAACTGAAAACATACTCATGTAGCGTTAATTTAAATTTATTCAATTCATGGCTTCTACGGGTAGGGTAAGTAACAACAGGCAATCAAAGTATTACTTATGCATACATAGAAAACTCTTTTAAAATATTCTTATTCATGATAGCATAGCCATGATCATATCATTTCATGATCAATGTTGATATGTAAGCATCCCAGGTTAGTGAAGTTTCTGATTTGTTCAAATCATGACCCCCCAGTGGGAGGGTAAGACTACTTTAAAAGATAAAAATTTTACATTGATATAAATATGAAAAGGCCAAATTCTCTAACACGTTCTGTTACATGGATATCACTTATCATAAATAATAATTTGTTTGTGCTAACAATGCTTCTCTCAACAGTATAGTATCATAAGGGTGTCACAAAGGTCTCCACAAATAATCACACTTCACATTGGGGCGGGTGTGACCGGTCGGCAGGGAATGCTCACTCCTCCATGGCACCTGACCCCATCTTTGATGTTTTAGAGGTCCGTGTTTACCTGCTCCTATTTTCAATAATGTTTAATGAACTTTTGAGCTCTAATACTGTTCGTTATGTCCACATATTTCATTTCAAATAGTTATTAACTAGTGCTATTTTTCTCTGAATAATATCAGTGTTTGCCATAAATGATCAAAGACAAATCGATGCTACTTACCCCTCTCTTGACAAACGGTGCCACGTGTGCGCCACAAATGATCACCCCCGTGAGACAATTCCAATCGAAGGTAACAGCATTTGGCGGAAGCTCAGACATTGGACTGCCAAGAAATAAAAAAAAATACACAGCTATATACATGTGTGTCATCTTATACCGTGTGTAATGATCATCAACTTTTCTTTTGCATTGCTAAAAACAAATGGTCATTTGATAAACAAAAATAAGGTTCGTGACGAAATGTCCAGTCTTTCATTTATCATAACATGCATATCTAAGAATTTTTAAAGAGCTTTCTTACTTAGTTACCATGGTGTTCAAAGACATTCACAAAAGATACTGCTATATTTCACGAGATAAATAAAAAAAATTCTAAGACATAAACATATACATGTAGTATTTACATAGTACATGTATAGTAAAAATGTATACGAAAATGAAAATATTGATTTTTCCGCTTTTAAAAACACTTTTTACAAGAATTTCTAATGCTTACCATCGCATTTTTTCAAATGTCATGGTTTTAACACAAATTAAGGTATTAAAGGAACTGAATTATTTTAAGTGTTGCTTACGTTTATTAGGAGAAAATACAAACGAATGCATAAAGAATTCTGTCAGCATTTGGTATATATTCAGGTTGCTTGTTAACCAAAAAAAATATGCTAATATGCAACTTCATCGTCAAAAACTGCTCAGATTGCAATTTTTAGGACTGAGCAGAAGATAATCAGATTTCTTAATCAGATTCAAGTGCTATGAGCACGTTTCCTCCGCACTCTACGTCTCAGTTTTCCGTCAACACGGCAAGAGCAACAGAGAGAACGTTTGACATACTTCCTGTTAAATAAAAGTTCCTTAATTAAGAGTAGTTTTTTTCTGAATTAATAAATTGTGAGAACAATGGTTAGAATGAAGCACTCTGTGTGAATTGATCGTCTGGTAGACGAAACTGGAGTTTTTCGGTGTGTATAGAGGATACACACACTTATCGCGCGGAAATAGTAAATCAATACAATTCACAATTTTATAAGTGTATAAAGGGCTATATCAGAGAGAGAGAGAGAGAGAGAGACTTTTAAAAAGTCAAATCTCAAGAATTTCAGCGAAGAGGTCATTTCATATTAAAAATGATAGGCTTACCTCCTCCATCTTAATGCCGTGTGATAAAATTTGTATGATACACCTTTTAAAAACAAATATTTTGAATCTGAAAAGGAAGCATTTCACAAATTTCTTCCTTTCTCATTGATATCGACAACACGTTCCCTCACTCTTTCTCTATTTCCTTCTCATTTCAATTACACAGGTTTTATAAGATAAAAAATGGCAAACGGTAGTGCAAATTATTTTACATATTTTTAAATTAACACTATACATCGTAAATTACTGAGCCTATTTTAAGTTTTCCACAACGAGTACTAATATTATATCGTTTTACAACCATTCTTCATGATTATTAACATAGATGCTGTCCGGATCGATTTCGCCTTCTTTTGTGGTCGCACGTGTTCCGACTGGGGAAGTTCCTGCAAATCGATTTCATTACATAAACTGTAACTCATCAGATGTTAATATCACAAGTATAATAAACGATGAAGCAAATGTATCCAAGAATGTATCACTATCTAATCTGATGAATGCTTAGTCGGAATCTTCAAAAAATATCCATTATTTGTATCCCAATCTACGATTATTATCAATGTTAATTTTCAAAAGTTGGGACGCTCTTGAAAAATAAAAATACAATTATCTTTTGCATGCAACATAAAATGTTGGCTTTGAAACAAAGTAAAAATATGGGCATTTATTTGCTTATTTATATTTTGTTGTGAAAGTCTACTTTGAATAGTTTTTGCATAAGTCTTAAATAAAAATATTTATAAGCATTGCCTTCTACGTCCAACTGAGTTGAAATGTAAAGTTTTTTTTAAAATTTTTAGCTATGGTTTATAATTGCTTTTATTTTTATCGATTTATAATGAAATTTATTTCGTTTATTTACTTTAATTCTCCTTCCCCTTGCTTTTAATAAGCAGAAACGTTTCTAAAGCGTAAAATTAAGAATAAGTAAAAATTACATACTTGGTATAAATATACCTTTGACTTTGGGGAATTCAAATAATCCAAAAATGCTACCAGTACTTAAGAAAACCTAAGATCAAACTGCATTCCCACATGGCATTAATGAAACTTTGAATGACGCGTGATCACAAGAGATTTCCTTCCTGTAGATTCTAATCATTTACTATTTAGAGAGAATTTTGATTCCTTTTATAGGCATTTGAATGATTCATTGAAACTGATATCTATATTACCATAAGTCCGAAAGTCTAAGGACATACGCCAAAATTCGCAAAAGTCCGATGGTGTACAGAAAAAACAATGTTAATGACGTCATAGTACTACTGCGCCGCTTAAAAAAAAATAAATACAAATAAATATAAAATACGAGGACTTACCGTCATCTCTCTAGGTTAAGTGTGAGACTAACATTTATCGGTTGAGAAGTGTGTTACAACTAAAACCTTAAAATGAATATCTCACGTGGGAGACTAACCTAGACTAACGGGCAAATAATGTGCAAGGACTTACCCTAAATCACTTGGGTTTTCCCAAAACTATTTTATTAATAGTCTACCAATCCCTTGACAGTCGAGTGGTTAGCGAGGACTAACCTTTTAACATCTTTGATTGGTGCAAGCAATAAGTAAAACCAGTAAAATTGTACGTGAGGACGAAATCTGAATTCATGGCTTTTGAAGGACAACGGTACCAAGGATTAACATCAGAATCATTTGTGATGTCATTAACGATGATTGTTTCTCCATACGATCGGACTTTAGCGTATCAGAATCCAAAGTCCGATGATCACGCCAAAGACCGATGTTCTCGCCAAATTCGATAGTCTCCGCCAAACCCACACATGCTTTGGTCCGATGGATCGTTTCCTTGGAGACGCGATGCGCTTAAGTTCTAAGGTCTGGGACGCCAAAGCCAGATATTGCAAAGAAAGGTTCAACGTTAATGACATCACAATATTCCAACGTCAATCCTAGACCTCGTTTGTGCTACTCAAACCATCAGTTCAATTTTACAGATTTTATTGCTTATTGCTTGCACCCTTAGAGATAATAGGGTAAGTCCTTGCACTCCATTCGATTAATACAGAGTAATTAGGGGATATCTTACCATCAAACAAAGATTCATGGTTCTCGCACACTATTTCACTGATAAAGCTTGGTCCAGTTCCAATCCAAGATATCTAGATTATAATTGATACACATGCACTTTTCGAACGATGAGGGTGAGTCTCGCACCTAGGCGAAAAGTGAAGAGTTATTTCTTGCATTTGAATACTTATTTGTATTTATTTAGAACCATCAGCTCTCGACATGGTGCGGCATTGCAATTCGTCGTTGCTGTAATATGACGTCATGAACGTTATAATCATTTGTTCGCACCATAGGACTCAGGCGTTTCTATCCAACAGGAATTGGCGCAAACCATCAGTTTTGGAGTGATCATCAGACTTTGGCCTCATTGAGTCCTACGTTTACATATATCAGACTCTCCAGATATGTACGATATTCAACCCGATACATGTGTATTTTTGAAGACAGTCACTAGCCAGCTTAATATTTAAGTTGCTTAAGTTTTATGCATGTTTGTGCATTCAATATTTTACAATAACATCATTATTAATCAAAAAATTTAAAAACTGTCTTTATCTTAAAATTAATTCTACATATGAATTTCTATCAGACGATTTAAATAAAACAAAGATTTACTTGCCTTTGCCTTAACATCCTATATTGCTTGGGACGATGAGAGAAAATTTTGTCCATTTTTACGAATATCAAGTATCTGTTTGAATACAATTCCGTCTTTTTTCAGAGTTTCTAGAGTGATTTTATTATAAACCAAACAAGTGCGTGCAAAACTGCAGGAAAGCGTTTGGATATCAGCAAAATACTCCGTAAAACATCACTTTTCATGATAACAATTGCACGTTGTTCCCATATTAAATGGAACAATATTTCACGCAATCGTTTTCATTAAAAAGCGAGGTTCATTACGAATGTTATTTTTTGTCCTTTTAATATTAATTGACATTCTAATTACTTGAAACCTTGTTGACTGCATTGTAGCAACCGCTAGTGATATAACGCCGCCTAATGATACAAATATCATCAAACAAAGTTTCAGTGCTAGACTTAATGTCATAAATCATTGCATTAATAGTTACCATGCTCATTCGCTTAATGATATAATTCTTTCATTAAGCGGCGATTTAAAAATAGTGGTTGAAAAGGTCAACCATTAATGCAATAATTTATGGCATTAAGTTACAACCCTTAATGACATTTGTTTCATTAAGCGGCGTTATATCATTAGCGGTTTCTACACTGCATATCTGTTTGAAAAGACGTGATTTTCTTGCCACTAAATTCACCTTGACAACTTCATATCACTTGTCTTTACTAATTCCTTAAATATGATTACATAATAATATAATTACCACTTAGGATTATGTAAAATATTAAAAATATGGGTTTGCTTTTTTGGATGGATGTAGATGTGCTCATATAACAATTCTTAGCAAAAGGCTCTCATGTACCCTGCTTTCTATCATGTTTTAAATTTTCAATTTACCGGGTGGCAGTTAGAACAAAATTTACAAAATGCTGTTCATTCAAAGTTTACCGAGAGGAAACAAGTACAAAATTTACAACATATACTGAAAATTTTGAATTTACCCTGTGGCATTGAGTATAAAATTATATAAATGTTCCAATTTTAGTATTTTCTACTACCCGGTTAATCAAATGTGTAAATTTCAAAAAACTTTAATATTTAAGAAATCTAAGAGATATAGGTTTGTGGCATGAAAATATATATTATTTGTAAAATGTTACCTTTGATTGCATCTGTCATACAATATAATTTGTCGTTAATTTAATTTTTTATGTTGATGAAGTCATTTTCAAAAATGAAAAATAATTTACCCTGTGGCATTGAGTATAAAATTAATAAACCAATTTTAGAAATGTCTACCACCCGGTTAAAAAAATCTTTCAAAAAAGTTCTAATATCAAGAAATCTAACAGATATACTTGGCATGAAAATATATATTATTTGTAAAATGGAAGCATCATACAATATAGATTTGGTAATTTTTATTTTGTAGATGATCAAGTCATTTTCAAAAATAAAAATAATTTTTGGGGCCACAATGGGCAATCAAAGTTTACATAGAAATGTAAGAAAAAAATCTTTAAAATTCTTTTCAAGATCAGCAAAGCCATGCTTAGTGATATTTAAATGGAAGCATCTAAGGTAATGTAGATTCAAGTTTTTGAATAATAACCCCCAGGGGTTGAGTGGGGCCACAATGGGCAATCAAAGATTTACATAGAAATATATCGGGAAAATTAAAATCTTTTAAAATCTCTTTTTCAAGAACAGCAAAGCCAAGATTAGTGATATTTATATGGAAGCATCCTTAAGTTGTGTTGTTTCAAGTTTTCCAGACCCACAGTGGGAGGGTGGGGCCATAATGGGCATCATGTTAAGTCATATTGAAATGTAAGTATCCTCATGTAGTTAAGATTTGTTCAAACCGTGAGTCCTGGGGGTAAGGAGGGGCCACAACGGGGGATCCAATTTTTACAAAGTTATATTTAGGGAAAATATTTTTTTTTAAAAATCTTCTCAAGAACAGCAAAGTTATATGAAATATCGATATGGAGGCATCCTCAAGTAGCATAAAATTCAAGCCCTCTCCTACAAGTAACCTTTTCATTACCCAACTGATTTGTGTTTTATCCTAGCTGATGTGCTCAGGTAAGCGAAGTGGCCGCGGGCTTCTTGGTAATTTATGATTCTTCATTTTACTTAAATTAACCATAAATCAGAAATTTTTTCACCCGCTTTCGCGCGCATAAAGTCGTCTACTTGTCAGTGACAGTCTGTCCATTAGTCGCAAAAACTTAAACCTTGGTCATAACTTTTGAATGAGAAGACATAGGGCTTTCATATTTCTCAAGTATATTACCTGTGTAAAAACCTTTTCCGAATATACAATGATTTTTTACCAACCCTGTGACCTTGACCTTGAAGCATGATTATATTATATCATAATTATTATATTATATTATATCATAATTATATAGAATATTAATTGTCATACAATTGTAAGGATACTAATCGTCATTTATATATTTTATTTGATAAATGTTTTTCTAATAGACTATTAGTTAATTTATAAAACTTGGATGAAGATCATTTAATGCCAAGAGGTGGTAATTTTGTGTCATACAAATGAATTCTGAATGGACAATGCCTTAATTAATTGAAAGCTCTTGTGATCACTTTTGTGGCATTAGGAAAATAAATATTTATATAATAAAATCTATTGTATGAGAAAATATTATTCGATTTCAACATTTAAATTTTACTACATTGTAAATGTCAGTTTAATTCTATAATTTAAAATTACCCTTTGCATAGGTATCGCAAGCAATTTGAACGAAGAGGGGTCTTATTGAAAGAGTGTGTGTTTGTGTGTTGGGGGGGGGGGTACCAGCAAATTAAGGGTAGGCCCCAATTTTCAATGCTATATTATATGTCTATCTTTGCAACAAAGTTGGGGGTTAAGCCCCCCCCCCTCCGCCGGTTCCAGTGCCTATGCTTTAGTTTCAGTTACATAAGTAGAAAACAAAGAAAACTGGAGTGTCTACTTCGTAAAGTGAGCCTACTAATATTTACACACACCAGCTGTTACAGGGGGTTTTATGCTTTACCAGATCTAACCAAAGAAATTCTAGTACGTGCTTCTGACTTTATAGTATAGAACCAGGACATAGCAATTGACTTCCTCATACAAAAGTACACGACAAACATTTAAAGGCTGAAGGAAGAGTCAAGTTCATGATTACGAGCAACAAAGCGTTTTTTAAATGTCCATTGTAAGAGGTTTTTACAGGAAGCTGATTAAATCAAATATCGAAAAAGCCTTGCAAAAAAAAAGAGACAAGGACAAATAATTTCAAGGATAATAAAAAATAATAAGGAAGTTGAGTTTATTATTCTTTTGTTTATTTTGTTTCGAGTCTCTTGCTGATAATCAATATCTCTGCGCTTATTACATGGATTTAATTTAATCTTATCTGAGAATCCACACATACAGTTGATTCCTGGATCCTCCCCTACTTTCGATCAGATTAAGATATAAAGCTTGCCCTTTAACGATTGAGAAGTGGTTAATCGTAATTAAAATATTAACAGCAGCAGCTGTACCAGCTTAGGAAGGGCGGAAGAGAGTTGCAGGGATCGATCGGGCGTCTTAATGTAAATAAATATTTTTCATTTCTTCTAAAAGGTTTAACGTACGACAAATAGGTCACAAGGTACAAATATCAAAAGAAAAAGGGATACGGATACATAAGTAATTCTACATTAATACACATTACTACCGACGTTGAACGCAAGCAAAACTGGCATAGTAAACAAGAAAATCGGTTATATGTGATATTTAGTATGATTCTTGCAATACGACTTTCTCTACAAAATGTTAATCTCAAGTTTTAAATGAAATCAGAATTAATATCAAACACACCTTATATGAAATCATTAATATCAACGACACCTTATTTCCATTTAAAGATCAATTTAACTTCATGGTCTTTGGAGAAATGAAGAATGAAAAAAGTTCAAAGAATATAGCAACAGATAATTATAAGATGTAGGCAAATGAGATTAATTGATGACATATACATTGAACGTATTCTCTCGAGATTGTGGACGAAGTTTAACAATAACTTAATGTCAATCAATTACTCTTATTCAAGCATTCTCCATACAAGCAAATTGAATCTTGATCTTTAAGCAAATGATCTACAGATGCGATTGATTACTTAAAAATCAATAACATTGTCACACTCAACAAATTATGCACGCATGCTGAACAGCTGAAGATACTATATGTTCAAGCCAGACCTCTAATCCATGCGTTGCACTAGATAATTTTTGCTGAGTATGGATGAATACTTACCATTAAAACTAGCCGATGAAATTGCTTTCCTTCGTATAAGCATCAGTAGATAATAAATATCCCAAAATGATAATTAAGAATATTATCTAAAAACCCATGACGAGTTGCTGTTTCCGTATTTCCGTCAAGGCAAATCGAAGCCGATTTGGCGATGAAGCAGATCATGAGACATTATACATAGGTTTTAGTGTCAGGTTGAAATCAGCAAAATGGAAGAAAAAACTTGCAACATTGGCTTCTTGTTCTTCAAAACAGCATCAACACATTCATGCATAAATCACCCTCGAATTGAAAACGAGGCTGTGATCGTCTGCAGCTTCTGTTCTGGCGAACATAGAGAATGTGACAAACGCATACACACGACAATCAATATATGAGCAGGAGTCGGAGTTTTCCCATATCATTGATTTATTGATATAATCCTATTACACCTGATTACTTGTAAATTATTGACCTATATTTTTATAAATACAAGGGTGAAAATAGCTTGTATTTATAGATTATCTACCAGTATTTTTCTCTGATGTATCGATCGATGCTCTAGAACGGTAAGTGTAGGAGGAGGTTGCACAGAAAGCTTTTAAAACAGGTCCTCTGATGTTTAAAAGATAGCGTGTTTATCTTATAACATTATAAGAACCTACCGTTGCGGAAAATTTTGCTCCCAGGCAGGAATATCTTTTCATCTACCCTATGATAATTAAAATAAAATAATATTTCAAATGGTTTGGTGAACCTTTTCCTTCTGTAATTGGCATTATAACACATGTAAACTTGACATGTTCAAGGTATTCAAAGGCCACAAAAGGGCAGATTGCAATAGGATCCAGTAAAAGTAAATCGTGTTTTTTATCATTTCATGTTTTATATACTTGTATCTTGTAAGACTAATTCTTACTTTACATATCCTGTAAGTTACTTAATCATGCTTCATTTTATTTTCATGCTTAATATATATATTTGTACATGAATCTTTTTAAACGATAATTCATGTTTTATTTGTAATTTCATGTTTTATTTCACTTCTACAGTTGATTAACGTTTTACCTGTATGTATATCCTATATGCTATATTTTATATACCATGAACAGCAAGTGCATGTTCTTTTTTTTATGTACACGATATTTTGTGTATAGCTGAATTGACTTTTCTTGATCCCCGGGTTTCGTGATATACCGAACAAACTAATATTCTCCATTTAATATCTTCTATTTCATAACACATTCAGATTCTTTTAGTATTATCTCTTATGTGAGATTAACTCTGCTCATGATCAAATTTTTCGATTAATACAAATCTAATAAATAAAGATTCCGCGTTTCCCTTTTTTAACATCTACGTTTACAATCAAATACCCTGAAATTCAGAAATTGTTTAAAATAAAATTAATGGAATTTACGTATGAATCCTGGAATATTTACATTTTAATCTTGCATCATGGTTTGGGGAAAATCTGGAATACGACATGTACTGTCTTTTCTGACGAGAACCATCTCGGAAGACTCGAAAAATAAACAAGCGCGCTTATCTTTTTTGTTTACTTTCAATCTGCTACTTGTTAAAGAAAGGTTACAACTCTGCCCACGTCGGAGTACGGAAAAAACATCACATTCTGTTTCGTTTAATTTCAGCTATAACATATATGGTGCATTTCACCCAAGGTTTCATTTCTCTCTCTCACTCACTCACTCACTCACTCACTCATTCAATAGTACGTACTATGTAGCATATCTAACTGAAGGGTTCATAGTACACATTAGTGTACTTTGCTGAAATATTTATGCTACTACGTTTTGTTGCGAAGATGTGAAATAATTCAAGAGAAAAATTGCTAATCAAGATTTTTTTTTTTTTATTTATCCAACCATTTTTTCCCATTACGTTGTTATGCACTCCCAAGTGTATGGGATGGGGTGTATGATTCAAAATCACTGCATGGATCCGTCTTTCTGTCCATCTGTCTTTGAATGTTACTTTGTCCAAACATGTTCTAAAAGACAAACCATTGTTATTTTAGAATTTTTCTCTCCCAGAATTTGCACTCTATATTTTTTCTACAAGATATGCAGCTACTATTTCTCTCCATTTTGCAGGTATATTTCAACTTGTGGACTCAATTGAGAAGAATGAAGATAGACATTTTTGTCTGAGTAAAACTTTGATATCCCAAGAGCAGAAAGAGGAGGCTCATACTTGATGGAAAATTTGCTTATGGCCAAAGGTTATCTGGAATATAAACCTAGTAAGTAATTTTTGAACAAGATCAAGGAAAGAGAAAATCACTAGCCCCCCCCCCCCCCCCCACACCCCACCGCGAAGAAAGTAGAAGCTTTTCAAATATGGATTAGTAGTCCTTGCCTTTGTCATAACTTTAAAGTCAGGATCAAGGATAGAAAGGAAAATTTACAGTTCAATGTATTTTTCCAAGAGTTTTAAAAACTGAAAATTTCTGAGGATTTTTAAAAAAGAGTTAAATTTTTTTGGTGACATTTTACACGATTAAAAATTCTAAATTACATTTCCCTTGAAAGATTTATTTGAAAAAAATATCTGTGCAGAAAATAGGCACATTTGCTTGTGATATATATTTTCAAAGCTTTAAAGTTTACTTCCTAACTGCAATTCGATACGACTTTAGCAACTCTTATATCCTCTAATAATAGAAAAATATAAAATACGATTAATGGGAATGCACACATATTTTCTGTTGAAATTTGATCATCGATTTTTTTTTCTATTTTTCTTTATTTAAAAAGACAAAACAGACAGTTTAGTTTTATATTTTATATTGTAGAAATTTTGCTATTGGGATTGAGGAAGAGTTTTGAAAATTTAGAAAGTCTATTCCTTATACACACATGTATTTCAGATATTAATGTAGCAATTCACTTAATACATGGACTAGAGTTAGACACATGGAAAGTGAAATGTTACAATAATCTTTATTAAGTATCTTTATAAATTGATATTATTATAATCTTACAGTAGGGTTTATATGTTACTTTGTTTATTACCTAAAAAATAGAGAAGATCAAATCAATTACACGCCCAATTTATAATGTAGCAAACATATTTTTGTGTATTCATATAAAGCAAAACTTAATCAAATACTTATACATAAGATGAAAACATTTGCTTTTACCTTCACATCGGCATTTAGTATTTCGATAACCTACTATCAGTAGTTATTTCCCTTCATATGTCTACTCGTTATATCTCAGTGATCTTGGAATAAATTATACTACAGAGTCAGACAAATTTATTTTGTCTATGGTCCAATAAAAAAAAAACTTTAATCTTACAAATTTTTTTGATAAGCTTGATGACTTCACCTTTTTTTTTTGTTATCGTGAACTTCCCTTACTATAATGTAGCAAATTACCCTTATCACCTGCATAAGAACGTACTAAATCTCAGTTGATTCGATACGCAAGCGAATGCTCTAAGTATCCTTTCAAAAATACTAAAGTAAACTATACTTAACCACAGTTAATGAAAAGAATTCATTTTTTACTATTAAAGATTAATAGTTAATCAAAGATTCAAGTTTTTACTATAGTTACTCAAAGTTCCAAAGATTTTACTTTACTAAATCAAAATTCTAAATGACTTACTATAGTAAACCAAAGTTTTAAAAAACGACATCTGCATTGAATTCATTTTTTTAAAATTTGCAAACACACATGTACATATACAGTTCATTTCTTCTACATTATTTTTTTAGAGAAGGGGTCGGGTTTATAAAAAGTTTCATGATAGCTTTTATGAATTTTGACCATGAGATATCATAAAATATCAAGAATGGGAATCAATACATTGTTACCACGGATTCTCTAGAGTAAATCAAAGTTCTAGAGATTTTTTTATATTGTATATCAAATTTTACTACTGTTTATAATCAGTTCCAAAGTTTGCTTCGATGAATTATGAGGAGATAACAAACATAAAAGTCCATTAAACATTACAAATCAGGAGCAAAACAAACATGGACCTCTAAAGCATCAGATGTGGGATCAGGTGCCATGGAGGAGTGATCATCCCCTGCCGACTGGTCACACCCGCCCTGTGCTTCTTGTCTTCAATTCAGTGTGTAAATAATGGATTAACAGTGAGTATGAAAAACGTCAGTCAGCATTCACATAACTTGTATTTGCTGACAAGGTCATTGAATCGATTATAGAACTTAAGAATGAAGACTTTAAACGGAACTGCTGTTATTCATTTTTCATCAAATTGTTTGTTAATAAGTAACCTCGTTTTGGAAATTCTTACAGCATGCTACTGCATATATCGAAGCAACTGTGCGGGTGACTGGGGTATATTGCTGCTTAAGTAAGGGAAGTTCACGATTTAAAAGTTAATGTCATTACGTTTATCATAAAGCATCGTTGTTAGATTACCAAATATTTCTTTTTCTAGTATAATATCCAAATATGAAACAGATGTGTCAGATTCTGTGGTGTCTTTTATTTCAAACTCACCGGAATATTTTGTGTAGACAAAAGAATGAAACTATTGTTAATATACATCACGTCGTCGATATATCTAAAAGTCGAATTGAAGTCTCGCGCCGCGCCAAATCTATACAATTTCTTGACAGACATATCCCTCTATTAGATATAGCTAACCCATTTTATTTTTTCAGTTTTATTCATAAAAACAAATGGACACAAAACATGACGACTTTCACCCTTTCATGGTCTAAAATCAACTATAATGCAGTAGTCCTTGTAATTAGATTATAAAGTACCATAAGATTGATAACTATTGAAACTATTCAAAGGCATCGTATAATTATATATCTTATTTGAAAACTATAAAAGTCGATGTAGAAAAATGTAGACAATGCATCGTAGAAGAAGGGGATGTATATAGCAGTGTTGGCACATCGCTGACAATTCAATTCCACATCGTCGGTTATCTTTATCTTTCTGAACAATAATTGTTGTATAAGTAATTTTCATTTTTTCTATTTAAAAAAAATCCAAGAAGAAAAACCTTGGGCCCGTTTTACAAAAGCATTATTAAGTATGCAAAATTTTACAATTAACTAGAGTTTTTGTTCTTGTGGTAAGTTATTTTGTAAAACTTTAAATTGAATCCGAGATTAAGAAATTACAGCACATGCATATTATAAAATTTATAATTATAAATCGGAGAGTTTCTTTATATTGTAACAAAATTAACGTAAAGTTAGAATACACACAGTCATATACTCTACCTTAAAACTTCTTGATTAGTTTAATATTCACATACCAGTAACTCATTACCATTCCTTCTACAGACATTAAATAGACGGATGAAACAAATGGCACACAGGTGTTTTTAAATATAATAAAGTGGTGTTTATAGGTGTTTATAATAGATATGCACTAT